ATCATAGACATGAAAGTAACAACTAAATTTAAAACAGTTTTAGAAGAAAACATAAGAGTAAAACTCTGTGACTTTGGATTAGGCGTTTTCTTAGAATAAATACCAAAAAGCAACAAAAGAAAAGTTGTTCTAAACCAAAATTTTAAACTTTTTTTTCTGCAAATGATACTATCAAGAAAGTAAAAAGCAACTCACAGAACTGGAGAAAATATTAGCAAATCATGTATCTGATATAGGGCTTGTGTTCAGAATATATTAAGAATACTTGCAGTCGATCATAAACAGATAAATAGCCTGTTTTTAAAATGAGCAAAGGCTCTGAATAGACATTCCTCCAAAGAAGTTGTATAAATGATCAATATACACATGAAAAGGAAAATGTAAATAAAAAACTACAGTGAAATACCACTTCATACCAGCTAGAATGGCTGTAATTAAAAAGACATACATTTATAAGTACCACTAAGAAGAGGATAGGGAGAAATTGGAATGCTCAAACATAGCTAGTAAGACTGTAAGATGGTGCAGCTGCTTTGGAAAATAGTTTAGCAGGTCCTTAAAAATTTAAATATATAAAGTAGATGTACCAAGTCTACTCCTAGATACACCCCCAAGAGAAATTAAAACAAATGTCCATCCAAAATCCTATACATAAGGATTCATAATAGGCAAAAAATGTAGAAACAACTCAAATGTCCATAAAATGATGAGTAGATACAGACATTGTGATATATCCATGTGATGACTATTATTCAACCATTTAAGAGGATGATGTATTGATACATGCTATAAAATGGATGTACCTTGAAAACATTATAAATCATATGGTTTGTAAGTTATATTTCAGTAAAGCTAATTTGACAAAATAATCAACTTGGATACTTTTGTAAATCTTTATGCCCAAGCTGAATTCCAGATCAGTGAGATCGTTCTCTTATGGTGGAACTTCTTGAGAGAAGAGTGTTTTTAAATTGTACCAGAAAATGTTCAGCAGCTACTTACTGAACTTTTCTCTTTTTTTCATATTTAAAAAAGTGTTAATATATTAATTCAGCAATAGATAATCCTTCCCAATAACCAGGGTACCAGCGTCCCAGTATTGGCGTCCAGTTCTCAGTTCTGGGGAGATTGAATGCCTGCAGACAATGGGAGCTGAGATGGGTGGGAGATGTTCTTCCTGGGCATGAAGGACTCCCCTCGCCAATAATGGGCTTCACCTCGTTCTGACCAGCGTCTCTCTACCCTCACTGGTCTTTGCAGAGTCATGACTCAAGTGTCTCCTGGACAGAGTCACAAAGCTCGAAGAGTTGGTCTTCGTGATCTCTCCTTTCATCCCCCACCACCAGCCTTAGTCTCCACGTGCTCTTCCCCAGGTGACTTGAGTCTACGCCTCTGTCCCGGCATCCATGTGCGGCAGCCTTGTCTCCATCAAGATGAGTCGTGTGGGTTCTGTGCCTTCTGGAGGCGGGGTGTGCTTGCGTGTGTGTGTGTGTGTGTAGGTGCTTTAGTGATCCCTGCTAACTTAGCGCGTAACTGTTAAAGGAAACCCACAGCCCCTTTTCCTTCCCTCCTCCTCCTCCTCCGGCCTTTCTGCCTCTCCTTCCTCCTAACATCTCCTTCTCTTTTTTCTTATTCCCTCCATCTCAGGCACTGAGACCCTGAACCCTTTACCAAAATGAAAGAAGTGACGTAAGTGTTGAGACTTGAGAACCAACCCGGTGACCATAATACCTTTACTGTGTTTTCTACCTTCAAGGCAAGTCTGATCTTAAACATATCAGGACATTTCTACATACTGAGAGGGAAATCACATGATCAGTTATTACCAGTATGTGATAGCATGAGTGAGTAGCGTGCAACTGAATTCCAAAAATCAACTAATGTGTTTAAATACTGCAGCTACAACGTAGTTATGGGTCATTTTCCTGTGTTTAAATTCCCAAATTCTGTAAACTATCTGACTTTTCTTTTTTCTTGCTTTTTAAAGTCTTTATGAAACAATAAAAATGTTCACAAGTTATATACTACCTTAAAAAGAATCTTAAAATTTTTCTGATTGCAGTAATGATGCATGCCAACTGTATAAAGCACTGTTGAAAATGGAAGTCTTATGGTGTCACCCAACCCATCCTCCCATCCCAGCTAATAGTTTGGTGTACATTTTATCATATTTCCATTATCACAAGCTTCCCTTTACATGTATGTATGCACTTTTTAAAAAAATTCACCTGGAGATATTTCTAAAATCCATCACTTTCCAAAGGACTTATGAGCTTGTCTAAGGATTTTAATAACTTCTCATATTTTGATGTGGGGTAACCCAAAGTTTAGGCTTCACAAGTGGCCCTGGTGGTAAAGAACCTGCTTGCCAATGCAGGAGGCTTAAGAGACATGGGTTCAATCTCTGGGTCAAGAATATCCCCTGGAAGAGGGCATAGCAACCTGCTCCAGTGTTCTTGCCTGGAGAATCCCATGGACAGAGGAGCCTGGCAGTCCACAGGGTCTCAAAGAGTCAGACACCCCTGAAGAGACTTAGCACACACGCACCCCAAGATTTATGATACTTTATTTAGTTCCTTTAAATGTACATGTAGTTTTCCTGACTCATTTAATAACTTGAAGTCTCTAATAGTATTTGGTTATTGTTTAAATCACTTGTCTTATTTTGTCTTTCTTTGGCTTATATCTCTGACCACGTCCTTATCAAAATATTCAGATTAGTAGATTTTAAAAAGTAGCATCAGGGAGGGGGGATCGGGATGGGGAACACATGTAAATCCATGGCTGATTCATGTCAATCTATGGCAAAAACTACTACAATATTGTAAAGTAATTAGCCTCCAACTAATAAAAATAAATGGGAAAAAAAAGTAGCATCACTACATACGTGACTTAAGAAAGTTGGTTGACTTTTGGCTTTTTCACTCCTGTCTGCCTCATGAGATTCTACCTGCGATGATTTTCCCCAGCAAATAATTCATCACTGGGATTACTCACTACCTTTAGTGTTCAAAATTCATCTCTTGCTATTAAGTTTCATTATTTTGCAATATCTGTGGCTCTTCTGAATAATGAAAAAAATGAAATGAATGCTATACAGATAAAATCCCTTTAAAAATTATTGAAAAAATATCTTTTATTTAACCATGCCTAGTACTTTGGGGTATTCCAGTGAGCTCTGCTTATAAAGAAGAGAAATCTAGGAGTTCCTCCACCTTCTTTCTTGTCTTTTTTTTTTTTTTGGATTGAATGAATTCTATTTTGTTTTACTCCAGAAAAGTCATACCTTTCTTTCTAAGTTACCTAGAATTTTAACATGCAAATTTTACTTTGCTAAAATCTAAATTTAATGAACAGTTGTATCCTCTTCCAAATACTACAAAGACTTTCAAATGTTTTTATTCTGATTTCCTCTCCTGACTTACTTGCTATTTTTAGCAACCAGATTTTAGCTCTGTTTGCTTGCTTTTTTTAACCTCATGAATTAGACATCACCATTCTGTTATATTCATTCCTTATATTGATCTTTTCTTTTTTTTTTGGCTTATCATCCCTGCTTACATTCAGAGCTTCTGGGATGAAACCCTAGTTTCTGTCATTTTGGATTGGTTGACAGTCTCCATGATATACAGGTCGTTAGTTAAATGTCTCAGGAAGAAAATGAGGAGGAGTCCAAGGAAATAGCCCCCCACATGCACAGAGCTGCCCCCAGGCCTAGAATCATCCCTGTATATTTTCCTCTCTCTAGTTAGAGGATTTTATGGAGTAGAGAGGAAAAAGGAAATCTTATAGAATCCAGAAGTTAAATATAATCACTTTAAAGGATTGTTTCTTATTCTGAGACTGTATTTGTCCTAACTTTTGTCGCTGTTAAAATTGCCTTTATTTTGTAAAATAATGGACGGTGATGGTAGTTGAAACTTGTTTTGGTTTTGGTTTTTATTCATGAGGTTTATTTTAACTTTTCCTTACTTGGCAAATAGAACATTGCCGATCAAAACCCAGATTTTTTGAAAATTTACGAGTCCCTGAAGTCCTAAGCCACTCCTGTAGACAACTAACTGTGAGTTTGGGATGTGGACACTGAAGCTTGTATTCTTGGTTACATCAGGGGCTTTATTGGTTATTCAGGTGTGGACAAATCCTGTAGTGTTGGTAGCACTCTGCAACCTTTTGTTGTATTATCAAGTAGTCCTTAGGAGTTCCCCAGCGATTGAAATTATGTCTAAGAACTTCTTCCTTCAGGCTGGGTCTATACTAGCAAAATGATCTGGGTGCTTTTTGCACACCCTGTGTACAAGTGGTGATGTTTATGCTCCCAATTTTTTAGAAACACTCACAACCAAATATTTGGCCAATAACTTACTATGTGCCTTTCTCATATGAAACATGAGCAGGTTGAACTGCTCTCCAGGTTTGTTTTCAACACTAATGTGAGTTGTGATTGCATTTGCACATATATCTTAAAGAAAAAAAGTCTTAAAGAGATATAACTATTTCATATGTATTTATATTGCATATAAGTGTCACACTGTAAATTCAGATGCGGAAGACACTCATTTTTCTCCTGTGGGCTCATTTAAAAGGCATACTGCATCGGTGATATGGGCACTGACGTCTTAGCAGATGCTTTTTCTTCCTTTCACTGTGAGTGTTCAGTGTGGAGTCTATACTGGAGCTCTCATTTCACTGCTGTAACGAATGGTCATGTTTAAATACGGTCACATTATTTATTGCAAAGGGTCACAGAACCCATCTTTGTAATGGTCATGTGCTTGACACTGAAGTTGTTATGTAAACATTCAGTCATTGTGACAATGTAGACAAGTGATGACTACTTGAAGATGCACAACCACAGATTTTGGAAGCCTCTGAATTCATGACAGAGTTGTTAACTGGAAGTTTTGTTATTTCCTATAAGTACAAGGAAAGGAAGTATTACAGTTACTCATACCCATTTGAAAGAGGAAATTAATGTTTTCTAAAAAATTCTTTTTTAGTGAAGGAAGCCCATCCCCCAGAATGGAGCTGCTGCACAATATCGACCCAAACTTTGTTGATATTTCACCATGTGAGTACGTTGTTTATTGCTACTAACTTAAATGTCTGTGGCTTACAAAGTGGTTTTATTGCCTAGGGTTTCTCTAGCCTAATTCTCCTTTTCCACTTGAGTTTGCTCTAAAAGTAAACCTTTCTCCATGGCACCTGTGGCAACAATGTCACTGTGGCTTTGCTGACACAAACGGTGAATGCTGCTAATCAGCTATGTGACCTAAGCCAGTTCCCTCCCCAAGCCGAGCCCCAGCTTTCCCATCTATAAAAGGGCATCTATTGCTGCCCTATAAATAAATTCTTCAGTACCATTTTTCTAGATTCTGTATATATGCGTTAGAATACAATATGTATCTTTCTCTTTCTGACTCACTTCACTCTGTATAATAGGTTCTACGTTCATCCACCTCATCAGAACTGACTCAAACATGTTCCTTTTATGGCTGAGTAATAATCCACTGTATATATATACCACAACTTCTTTACCCATTCATCTGTCAGTGGACATCTAGGTTGCTTCCATGTTCTAGCTGTTGTAAATAGTGCTGCATTGAACATTGGTTCAACATTCAAGATACATGTGTCTTTTTCAATTTTGGTTTCCTTGGGGTATATGCCTAGGAGTGGGATTGCTGGGTCATATGGTGGTTTTATTCCTAGTTTTTTAAGGAATCTCCATAGTGGCTGTATATATTCCATGTATCAATTTACATTCCCACCAACAGTGCAAGAGTGTTCCCTTTCCTCCACACCCTCTCCAGCATCTATTATTTGTAGACATTTTGATGATGGCCATTCTGACTGGTGTGAGGTGATATCTCATTGTGGTTTTGATTTGCATTTCTCTAATAATGAGCGATGTTGAGCATCTTTTCATGTGTTTGCAGTGGAGAAACAGACACAGAGAATAGACTGATGGACATGGGGAGAGGGGAGGAGAGGGTGAGGCGTATGGAAAGAGTAACATGGAAACTTACATCACCATGTGTAAAACAGACAGCCAACGGGAATTTGCTGTGTGACTCAGGAAATGCAAACAGGGGCTCTGTATCAACCTAGAGAGGTGGGATGGGAGGGAGATGGGAGGGAGCTTCAAAAGGGAGGGGATTTTTGGACACCTATGGCTGCTTCATCTGGAGAAGGAAATGGCAACCCACTCCTATATTCTTGCCTGGAAAATCCCATGGACTGAGGATCCTGGTAGGCTACAGTCCATGGGGTCGCAAACAGTCGGACACGACAGCGATTTCACTTTCACTTTCACATGGCTGGTTCATGTTGAGGTTTGACAGAAAACAACAAAATTCTGTAAAGCAATTATCTTCAATTAAAAAAATGAAAAAAAATAAAGTCAGAGAAAAGCAAATATTGTATATTACTACATATATGTGGGATCTAGAAAAATGGTATAGATTATCTTATTTGCCAAGCAGAAACAGAGACACAGACACAGAGATCAATCATATGGACACCAAGGGGGAATAGGAGATGGATGAATTGGGAGATTGGGATTGACATATATACACGATTGATACTATATATAAAATAGATGATTAATTAAGAAATATTGCTATGATGACAATATCCCCTCAGCTTATCTATAGGTTAAATGCATTCTATTTTAAAATAGTGGCTGGGTGCAAGCTGAGAATAATTTTTACATTTAAAAAATTTAATTTAACTTTTATTTTAGATTGGGATGTGGTTGATTTATAATGTTGTATTGATTTGGGGTGTGCTACAGGTGGTTCAGTTGTACATATGTGCTTGCCTGCTCATTTGCTTCAGTTGTGTCTGACTCTTTGCAACCCTATAAACTACAGCCTCCCCTCACACCAAGGCTCCTCTGTCCATATGATTATCCTGGGAAGAACACTGGAGTGGGTTGCCAGTTCCTCCGCCAAGGGATCTTCCTGGTCCAGGGATTGAACCCGTGTTCCTCCATTGCAGGTGGATTCTGTATCACTGAACCACCTGGGAAGCCCATACATGTGCATGTATCTGTTCTTTTTTGATTTCTTTTCTCATATAGGTTATTACAGAACACTGAGTGGTTTTTACATTTTTTTCAGCTTTGTTATTACTTATTTTTAGATCTTTTTGAAAAATGAAAACTGTGGAGGGAGGTTCAGGAGGGAGGGAACATATGTGTACCCATAGCTGATTCATGTTGATGTATGGCAGAAACCAACACAATATTGTAAAGCAACTATCCTTCAATTACAATAAATGTTAAAAAAAAAAAAAGAGGAGAACCCATCTTTGATAAGCCAGTTCCCTCTCTGAGCCCCAGCTTTCCCATCTATAAAAGGAGAACCCATCTCTGAGCCTCCTGTAACCGTCAGCATAGTGGTGTTATTGTCCCGTTCTTACCTGAGAGTGTCAGAACCTCCTTCCAGAAAACTCAAGGCCAAATCAGCCAGCACATCATCTGATCAGACTGCCCAGGTGCTACCCAGACCTGCCAGGTCTCATAAACCTGTGATTTTCCTGGCAATCCTGCAACTTGGCTTGATTCTGCCTAGTGCCTAAATTAACCCATAGGGAACCCTATTAATTCCTGCAGGGAGAGAGGCCATGAGGTGCTCCCACATTGCCATAGGTTGTAACGCATGCAATAGCCCTTTATAAATACCATACCAGTGGCCCCCATGCCCCGTGTCATGAGTTGGGGCCTAGAAAGTGTTAACTGTTAGACCCTTTGCCAGGATCCATCATCATGCCTCGCTGTGAGACTGTCTGCAGGAAATATTGCTCTGACACTCCCTTCACTCACTCGGGTGCTCCCATCGCCTCTTTCAGACATACCTCTCCCCCATGGTTCAGCTCTTCTCACTCTTTTTTTTGTCCTCTCCAATCTGTGCTACAAGCTGCCTTAGACTTCCCTGCCCGGAGGAGGACCCCACAGTAATTCTGAGTGTGTCACCGGGCGTTTGGGGTCCAGCTCTCCTTGCCAGCCTCACTCCAGGTCCTTCCTCCATCTTCTTGCCCTCCTAGACACTTGGCATTTCCAAGTCTGCAGATCATCATCCTTAGGTCTTAAGCGTGCTTTTCCCTATGCCTTTCGCTGCTCCTCCAGAATTTTCCTCATCCCTTAAAACCCAGTCCACTTGTCCCACTTCTGTGAATGTTTTCCAGAAACCCCAGAGGAAACAGTACTCCTTCCTCTCCGCATATGTGCATCCTTTCATATATGTCTCTGTATATGCTATGCTAAGTTGCTCAGTTGTGTCTGACTCTCTGTGACCCCATGGACTATAGCCCTCCAGGCTCCTCTGTCCATGGGATTTCCCAGGGAAGAATACTAGAGTGGGTTGCCATTTCCTCCTCCAGGGGATCTTCCTGACCCAGGGATTGAACCCAGGTCTCCTGCATTTGCAGGCAGATTCTTTACTGCTGAGGCACTGGGGAAGGGTCCAACTCTTTCCGACCCCATGGACTGCAACACGCCAGGCTTCCCTGTTCATCACCAACTCCCGGAGCTTACTCAAACTTATATCCATCAACCATCTCATCCTCTGTCGTCCCCTTCTCTTCCCGCCTTCAGTCTTTCCCAGCATCAGGGTCTTTTCCAGTGAGTCAGTTCTTTGCATCAGGTGGCCAAAGTATTGGAATTTCAACTTCAACATCAGTCCTTCCAATGAATATTCAGAACTGATTTCCTTTAGGATGGACTGGTTGGATCTCCTTGCAGTCCAAGGGACTCTCAAGAGTTTTCTCCAACACCACAGTTCAAAAGCATCAATTCTTCAGCATTCAGCTTTCTTTATAGTCCAATTCTCACATCCATACATGACTACTGGAAAAACCATAGCTTTGACTAGACAGAACTTTGTTGGCAAAATAATGTCTCTGCTTTGTAATATGCTGTCTAGATTGGTCATAGCTTTTCTTCCAAGGAGCAAGCATCTTTTAATTTCACAGCTGCAGTCACCATCTACAGTGATTTTGGAGCCCCCCAAAATAAAATCTGTCACTGTTTTTATTGTTTCCCCATCTATTTGCCATTAAGTGATGGGACTGGATGCCATGATCTTAGTTTTCTGAATGTCGAGTTTTCAGCCAACTTTTTCACACTTCTCTTTCACTTTCATCAAGAGGCTCTTTAGTTCTTCTCTTCTTTCTGTCAGAAGGGTGGTGTCTTCTGCATATCTGAGGTTATTGATATTTCTCCCATCAATCTTGATTCCAGCTTGTGCTTCATCCAGCCTGGCGTTTTGCATGATGTACTCTGCATATAAGTTTGCTCCAAGCATTAGAGTAGTGTGAATTATTACACAACTTTGTTATTACTATATCCTTCCCACCTTTCTGGCCCCTGTTCTGAAAGATCACTACATCATTCCATTTTTCCATCTGCTGTCTTTCCTTTAGTGGGTCGCGTTGGCAGTGGTGAACCAGTGTCTCCTTCTATCATGAATTGTAGGAATTAATGTTAGACTTTTCTGAAGGAAGTCCTGCCTTCCACACAGGACCGGGGCATCATAGGAGTTCCTGCCACTGATGCATCAGTGAAGTGAACTCACTCAGTCGTGTCCGACTCTTTGCGACCCCGTGGACTGTAGCCCACCAGGCTCCTCCGTCCATAGGATTCTCCAGGCAAGAATACTAGAGTGGGTTGCTATTTCTTTCTCCAGGGGATCTTCCTGACCCAGGGATTGAACCCAGGTCTCCCGCATTGCAAGCAGATGCGTTAAGCTCTGAGCTACCAGGGAAGCCCGTAGGGCCAGAGCCCCTCAGAAGCTGGCCTCTTGCCTTGTAGCATCTACACCACCTCCCCCTTCCTCTAAAAGTACAAGTCACCACAGGAGCCCTTCCTACTGGTGGAGTTAGGGTTTTTTCCATGGCCACATACCTTGGTGGGCTGTGGCTTTCATATTAACAGTAAAAATGTTTCCAAAGGACTGGTGTGTACACGTGCACACCAGAGGTCATAGGATCACCTGTGAGCCAGGAGATTCTGCAATAAAGCATAGAGAAATCTCAAAGAGCTGTAAATCATACCCATGAGGATGACTA